AAAAGTCAAAAGAACTAGTGAGGGAAAAAAAAAAAAGAAGTAAAAATCACTTTTTTTTGAACAAATTTACAAAGAATCAAATTTAAACTGTTACAAAAAAAAAAAAAAGATGCACTTTAAATATGACTTCACGTTTCTGGCTTCAAAGACTCTGGTGCTAAGTAGAAATCGCTCCTCTGCATGATGTACGCCGTAATCGCGCGATTAGAGATGTTGAAAATTCTTGTTTAGAAATTGAGTATAGTAATTAGAGTTATATATTCACTGGGGACCAATATTCATTCTCTGTATCTCCTAACTTCTATTCTCTAGCATCGATCATCACTTGTTATTAATTATTTGCATCAAATTCAAGGGACTCTGGTACCCTTTACTTTTCCTTTTTCCTCAAGTCAATTGCTGATATTCATAGCGGAATCTGCGGAAAGATGCACCTAATACGGTGGCTTTGGATGCAAGTTCTCTAATCATGGCTAATCAAAATGTCTAAATTATCTTAATAATTTTTTAATTTAAAGTTTATAAGTTTTCAAAAGTTTATAAAACTCTCACTACAAAAAAAAAAAAAAAAATCTCTTGTGACGTTTTCTGTTACAATAATTTGCACTAAAAAAAGCATTATGATTGAGGAATTTTTTTAAATTGTCTAATTATTAGTAGTAGTTGATCCTTATATTTTCATATCATTAATAATAATTTTTATTTTCTTAAATAATATTGAGGCAAGTTATAAAATCAATTATGAATCTTAATAATGTAGATGGAATGTCATGCATATATACGAAGAGAACTAATGCAACTTGCATATTTATAATTATTAGGAAATTGTCTATAAATACCTCACACATTTTGGTTCATCATATCAAAAACCATCAAAACTTCAGTTCTAGGGAGGTGGAAAATGAAGTTCGATAAGTTCTTGTTAGCCGTTTTCTTCGTGGGTCTCACCCTGTTAGCTCACCTCCTTCTAGCTCAAAACTCCCCTCAAGACTACATTCGAGCCCACAACGCGGTTCGAGCCAAGGTTGGGGTCGGTCCAATGATCTGGAACACTACAGTGGCTGCCTATGCTCAAAAATACGCCAAGAAAAGGATTCGAGACTGCAACATGGTGCATTCTGATGGCCCCTATGGGGAGAAACTCGCTGCGGGCTACCCTGACCTTAATGGCGTCGACGCCGTGAAAATGTGGGCCGGTGAGAAGCCTAACTACAACTATGCTAAGAACTCGTGTGTGAACGGCGAATGCCTGCACTACACCCAGGTGGTTTGGCGTAACTCCGTTCATCTCGGGTGCGGTCGGGTCAAGTGCAAGAATGGGTGGGTTTTTGTAATTTGCAACTATGATCCCTACGGAAATATTGAGGGCCAACGTCCATACTAATTAAACATGGGTGTATTAAGGTGATTTCTATGATTCCTTTTGGATTTGGAATAATTAAGGGAAATAGTGGAGTTCGTTTGGTGTTTGGTGTTTAACTACATGTTCCTGTCTAACAATAGTAATTTTAATTTTATTTTTTAACTTTTAGAAAACTGATTTGCAGTCATTAATGCTAATTTTTAGACGGTTAGATTATTAGAATGATGTTATTTAGTGTTAAAAGTTTAGTAATCCCAATTTTGCCTCTTCTTGTCTTCAACATTCCGTGTTTCAGAAATTCACAAACCCCCGGTGCAAATTCCTTTTCCAAATTAATTCATCATCTTAGCGCCAATAACCTCCTCTTCTCTTCTTTGATTTTCTTATGTTTCTCATTATTTAGAAACCCTCTATTCTATCTTTTGATCCCCAAACTTGATTCTACTCTTCTTCAATTTCCCCTTGAGATCTCTGCTTGGAATCATAAAAAACTTCAGAGAGTAGAGGAAGAACAATTAGAAAACAAAGAAAGAAAAAATAAATTGGAGTGAAAGAATAACCAAATTAACAGAAAATATAACAGCTCTTTGGTACATATGCTTCACTATACTTCTTATTTTGGTCCAAAACTTGGTTTTTTTTCTGCCCTGAATAACAGGGATCCATTGGGAGCATTTGGGATAAGCTACACTTTTATATTATTTTTTGAATTGTTTTAGGCAAGGTCTTTATTTCATTATCATGTTCATTATGTTCATTATATATTTTTCATTTTCCAAGCTAGAATTCCTACGAAAGATAGTTTAGCTAAAAGAGACGTTTTACTTGATGGTGCTTTTGCTGCTTGTGGGCTTTGTGAATTACCTTTAGAAGAATCAAGCCTTTTACTCCTTAATTGTACAGTTGCTTATTGACTTTGAATGAGATGTTATGCATGATGGGTTTTACTTTCTGTTCTCCCTAACTCATGTTTGGATTTATTTAAACAACATGCCTAGTTTAGGTATGATAAGTCAGTAAGAAACGAAGGGTATGTAATCTAAGTTGATATCTTATGGAGATTATGGTTGACATACTTTCTGCATGATGAGATAAGCAGGTTAAGAACGTATAGGGAGGAGCAGGGGGCTTGGCTGAATGTTTAGTACCTTGAGCTCTTATTGCCTTGATGGGATCATTTATTTAGGATGTTTCTCAAGCCTTCATGAGGCATGATGCACTAAAATTACTCTAACAAGTGTACTAGTCGCTCTAAGTAATATAATGATAAAAAAATGTCGAACCAATGATGATTGTGTCTAATTAAGTATTAAAATAATTAATCTAAATTTATTTAAACAGTAAAAAAGGAAGAAAGTTTAATTAAAAATAAAAAGAAAATAAAAATTAAAATAAAACTAACCAAGATATGAGGTACTAAGGCATCAATTTCATCATAATCAATTAATATAAATTCTGAATTATCAAATTGTTAAGTGTTATTGTATGTGATGACGGATTTCCCTAAATTAATTAACTAGCTTTTTCAAGTCAAATTAATCCTTCATTGGTTTGTTAAATTAATCATATCTCTATATAATTTTAAACAAATTAATGAGTATTAAATTCTATGGAAACCTCTAACTTAAGAAGGGGAAGCTACTAACTCTTTTCTCTTCTTCCACTATCATATCTGAGCTAATTACCTCTCGGTTTCATAGTCTAACACATGGTTTATATTATTATTGGTTTAATTTATACAATTTTTTTTCAAGTTCATGCATAAATCACTACGTCAATTGAAAAATGATCAAGCTTCTAGTGTATTAAATTTAATAATATAAACTTCTCGTGCAGATAACTTTAATTGAAAGTATAAAAATTACAAAATTTATATTAAATTGATTAGGCTACATTATAGTCCTAATAAAATAAATTGGTTCATAATAAAAATAATAAAATATAAAATTATAGTTATGAACATAAGAATATCTAAAAAAACAAACTTGTAATTGAAATTCTTAATTTTCTATTGTGGATGAATTCTCTATCTTAATCTCCAAGAATGCTCAAAAAAAAGCTATCACAGCCTCCATCAGCTCTCTTAATTCTAAATTTAGATGAATATTTATAAGATTTTAAAAATTCTAATTAAAATATAAGTAGGCCCACACCCATAATAACCAATTGAACACAGATTTTATGAAAATCGCATAAAGAGTCAATACCTTCAACGAGGTGCCGACACTTTTTGTTCAGCGCCCAATGCCCTCAACGTGTCGGGTTTTTGGCCTTCTTAGCAATTTCTGTAAGGGAAAAATAACAGTCCTGGTCCCTGACTTCTGAATTCTGCACAAGTTGATCCTCAAGTTTCTGATCTCTACAATTTACTCTTGAAAATTATGATTCCTTCTAATTAAGTCCATTCCTACACAAATAATACAAAGAATAAAAATGATGTAAAACCAAATAAAATCTCTTAAAATTCATCCAAATATCAATAATATCAAGGCAACAACTTCACATTAATATGTATATAAATTCAACTCCCCCAAATTTAAGTTTTACTCGTCCTCGAGTAAAATAAAAAGATAAAAGAAGCAAAAATAAAACCTAACTCATTTTCGTAAGAATTACAATTGCACTTAACATGTGCAACAAGCCTTTAAACCCCTATGTCACCCTAGTGGATGAGTTGTGTCTCATGATGGTTTTCAGTGGATTTACCCACAAAATCCCAATGCAAGAATACAACTATATGATATGCATGCAAAGAAAATTTAAGAATTAAAGTTCAATTAGATACAAAGTCTCAAATATTCAAAAGTTTTCATATACTCACTTACAGTAAAATACTCCATCCTATTCTTCACACCACTTGTTAAAAGATTTAACCCATGAGTACTTAGTGTGTGTGTGTGGAAATTCATAATAAGAAGTCTTAACTTTAGACCTTCACACCTTATCACTTATTACTATTTATTTTTTTCCTTTTTTTTTTTTTCAGCCATACAACATATTATTCCCTAAGTTATCACTTTTCTTTTGACATAAATACTAACATTTGTGCTAAAAGCACTCGGTTACTCAACAAGTCATAAACTTAAAGTGCTTTGCATGCTCATATTTCAAGTTACCGTTTGACGTGAAAATTGACATGGGTCTCATGCTAACCCTTAGTTACTAAGCAACTAAAAACATTGGAGTAGAAATTAATAAACTCTTTTGTATTGGCTTCCTTTTTTCTTTTCTTTTTTTTTTAGTGCTTTTTAGGTGTTACTAAGTCTTCTCTCTAAACTTTTCACTACAAACTTGTGCTCAAGTAGAATAGAATACTCATGAACTTAAACTTCATCACAATGGTGTTATTTTTTAGATTTGTATCTCCTCTAAGATTCAAAAATTTTAAAAGTTCTAACTCAAGAATATTCAATTCCTTGACACTAATTGGACCAATTCCTAAAAGAAACCCTAATTTCTAAAAAGGAAAAAAAATGTATGTCATGCAAATATGAATGCAAACTAACGTAATAATGGATGCCTAAAAGTTATTCTCTCCCCCAAACTTAAATCAAACATTGTCCTCAATGTAAAATAAAAGTAAGAGAAAAGAGAAAATTCCTAGGTTTTGCATTTGAAAACTTAAAACTGAAGTTTTGAAGTTGAGTTGTCTTCATTTAGAGGAGACTTCTAGCAGGTGAATTTCCATAGTCTTGTCTCCCAAACTTGTTCAATGACCTAGCCAAAATCAAAGAACAACAATTTATGGATTAACCTAGGCCATAAAGAGAAAAAATAATAATAAAAAAATATAAACTATTAAAATAAAAGACAAAGAAATAAAAGAAAATAAAAATTTATGCTTGGGTTGCCTCCAAGAAGCGCTTAATTTATAGTCAGTAACTAGACTTTCTACCACTCCAAGGTGGTTTTGGATCAGGTCGTAGGGCATGTCCTCTTGTTTTCTTAAATCTTGGCTTCCTTGCCCTTAAGTTGAATCCACCATAAGATTTTCTCCAATGACTATTTTGAGGTGGTTTGGATTTAGGCCAGGAGATGTGCTTTCCCAATTCTTCTAGAATTGCCCCATTTGATTCCAAGGACGATGATGATGTGTTCAAGCAATTTATGTATTCTTTGATTGGATCCTTTGCTTGAATAAGGTAAATCTCAAATGGATCCTCATAAGTATTTTTCTGCAAAATCTCATCAACCATATCAATAACAAAATAATCATTAAAATCAGATTTGGTTAAAGGAGACTCCCCATTGAACACTTCAAATGACACTTGAGCTTTTTCCTCTTCTTCCTTAGGGACATCCTCTTGTTTAGTTTCTGTAGGCATAATTTCTACTTCTCCAAGTTGTCCTTCAATCTTCAAGGGTAAAATGTTTACCTTTTCTTGATTTTTCATTGTTACACTAGGTAACTCACCTTGGATCTCTTCAACAACTAAGTTGAGCAAATGACTTGATTGGACCTCCAGATTTTTATCCAAACATGTCTCCTCTTCTTGAGATTGAAACCCTGATTGTGGCTCCAAAATATCTTCATTATTCCATGAGATTTTTGGATCAAAATTACATGTATTGGGATATAAATTATAGGTTAAAGTACCATTTTGGTCCCTCAACTTTTCACTTTAGCACCAAAATTATCCTTCAACTTTAAAAAGTACCAAAATTATCCTTAAACTTTAATTTTCAGTATCAAAATGGTCCTTCCATCAGTTAAATACACAGGTGGCACGTTAAGATGACACAAAATCACTGGCTTTTTAAAATTTTAATGATGTGTATATCCAACAAAGAAAATATTGTCACCGTGGCATTTTTTTACACGTTAGATTGTCATCTTCTTAGTTTCTCCTTTTAGTGGGGCCCACATAAAAATTTGTTTTCTCTTTTTCTAGTTTCAATCAAATTCCCTAAAAATCACAATTTTCTTTGTTTCTCCTTTCATTTCCTTTTCAAATTAAAAACCCTAAACCTACTACTTCTCCAAAATTAAAATCAAAATCAGATCATCATTCTTATTCTTTCTCTCTCTCTCTTCTCCCTTCTTCCTCTCCAAATCTGGGTTTCCAAACCTAAATCTCGGTTTTCTTAGGCTTGCTAAACCGGCCTTAGTTCACTTGTCACCGTCACAGCCGTTGCCATCGCCTCCACCATCACCCACGTTGCTGTCACAGCCATTGCCATCGCCTCCATCATCACCCACGTTGCCGTCACAGCGTTTGCTATCGCCTCAGGTGCTTGTCTCTCCACCAAGGTCGACTTCTTATGGCCCAAACTAGAGGAGTTGTTGTACCTATGATTTTGATGATTACAAAACACATTTGAGTGACTAATTGGTTCATTTAAGTGTGTAGTTAAAATGTCAAAAGATTGCAAAATAAGTAAACTTGGATTGCACTTAAAAATGGACCAGAAAGGCTTGAATATTTGCAGAGAGCCGGCTCTTAAAAGCTGCAGCCGGCTATGGTGAAATGGAAGTGCAGAGAGTCGGCTTTGGGAGCTGCAGCTGGCTCTACAGGCAAAAATTTGAAGACCGTTGTTTGGCACGCGCGGAGAAAAGATGCAAAGCCAGCTCCAACTTTGCAACCGGCTGTGAGGGTGCATTTAATGCACAATGGTCGACTCTTTTGAAGAATATTTAATGTATTTAAAGTTGGAGTTCCAAAGCCGGCTCAATGTCTTGTAGCCGGCTCTCGAGAAAAACAGAATTGGGTGCAATCCCAGAAAGTCGGTTGCAGAAATGGTGAGCCGGCTGTACAGAGTCGGCTCTAGGAAGTTAAGCCAGCTCTCCTGACAATTCTGCAACTCGACTTTTGCGTCCTGCAGAGCATTTAATGACCCCCAACGGCTAGTAACGGCTATTTTCGACCATGAGGCTATACATATGGTTGGTAACAGATATGAAGGAGGTTGGAGAACATTGCATTGAATATCTTTACCTACCTACTTGAGCTTTAACTTGAGTTTTTGATCTTTGAGAGATCTTTGTTTATAATCCTCTTCTTGTGCTATTAGTGAGTGATCTTGGGTGTGTGTTGATTCCTTCAAGAGTGATCTATTGAGAGGATTTGTGGGGTTTACATTGTAAAGAGGTGAGGTTTGAGAGAAATACTCATCTTCTTGTAAAAGGATTGAGTGGCTCCTTTAAGCCACCCTTATTGTTGTTAGTGGAGAGTGTGGAGGAAATCCTTGGTGAGTGAAGCCAAGGTAGAGGACTAGGCTCTAAGTGGTTGGACCGAACCTCTATAAATCATTGAGCAAGCTCTTCTTCTCTATTATCTTTAATTTGGGTGTTGTGGTTGCAAAAAGGGGAGAATTTTTGGAACTCCAATTCACCCCCTCTCTTGGAGTACATTGAGTCAAAAGGAGCAACCAAGTCTGTGAATACACCATCGCAGGGAGGTACCGGAGATTTTGGGTGTTGTGTTGATTGGATTGTAATGGGAGGTATCAGAGATTTTGTGGTGGGTTTGCATGCGAAAGGAAAGATGGGATCTGACGGTGGTTTTTGATGCACATTCTCAGAGTTGCTAGTGCCATTTTGAAACTAAATTAGAATCCAGTTTGACTTAGAAATGCAATATTTCTTATTTTGGATGTAGGTTTGTTAGGTCTATATAGTTGATGTAAATTTGTAATCCATGTCCAATTGATTTATACAATTTTGGGACATTTTTCTTTCTTTTTGATTTTACAGGAAATGGGTATTGAAGAATGGGATTTTGAGATTTTAACTCAGGAGAGCTTTGCTTTGATTGTAGATGTGTTTTGAGAAAAACCCAAATCTGGGTCCTTCTGCTACTATTGCTGTTAGCCTTCTTCTTCTTCTCTCAAACCCAGGGCCTGGGTTTGCAGAGGTAAGAGAAAAGAAGAGGTAAAGGAGAGAGAAAATGAAAGGGAAAGAAGAAATCTGACGTGGGTGAAAAAAAAAAGAATTATTATTTTTAAATTAAATGAAAATGCCACCTCATAATAAAACATAGCCAACTATATATTTTTTTTCCATGTCATTAGTTAAGCAAAAAAAAAAAAAAAATGATTTGCTAGCATTTTAACTTGCCACTTGTCATTTAACTGACGAAAGAACCATTTTGGTGCGAAAATAAAAGTTTGAGGATAATTTTAGTACTTTTTAAAGCTGAGGGACAATTTTGGTGCCAAAGTGAAAAGTTGAGGGACCAAAATGGTACTTAAACCTAAATTATATTGTTGACTATAAAACTCACAAGAAAAATCAACACACTCGTTATATCGTTTAAATAAGCAATCAGAACTAAAATGATCTAATCCACACCATTCACAAGTGATATTTAATCGTTCTATTAGAGCCTTCTTTAATTTGATCCTTTCAATGACTACTTGAAATCGTTCAAGTTCATCATCGTCAAATTCTGCATCCCAATTGATAGTTATTGCTTCAACTTGTGCTCTTATCTCTGGCGCAAGCCATTGATAATTTAGATCAATGTTTAGGCCAACTAGATCCATAGTTAAACCTACAAAAACACAAACAAGGAAATAAAAAAAAATCAAAGTAAAGAATTAAAAGAAAACATTCAAACTAAATCTAGAATTAACCAACTTCGATATTAATTAAATCAATAATCCTCAGCAATGGCGCTAAAAACTTGATGCACTAAAATCACTCTAACAAGTGTATTAGTTGTTTCAAGTAATATAATGATGAGAAGAATGTCGAACCCATGAGGATTGTGTCTAATTAAGTACTAAAAAAATTAATCTAAATTTATTTGAACAATCAAAAAGGAAGAAAGTTTAATTAAAAATAAAAATAAAATACCATTAAAATAAAATTAACCAAGATATGAGGTATTAAGGCATCGATTTCACCATAATCAATTAATATAAATTCTAGATTATCAAATTGTTTAGTGTTATTGCATGTGATGACAGATTTTCCTAAATTAATTAACTAGCTTTTTCAAGTTAAGTTAATCCTTCACTGGTTTGTTAAATTAATCATATCTCTATATAATTTTAAACAAACTAATGAGCATTAAATTCTATGGAAACCTCTAACTTAAGAAAAGGGAGCTACTAACTCTCTTCTCTTCCTCCACTACCACATGTGAGCTAATTACCTCTCGGTCTCATAGTCTAGTACACGGTTTATATTATTATTGGTTTAATTTACGCAATTCTTTCTCAAGTTCATGCATAAATCACTACATCAATTGAAAGATGATTAAGCTTCCAATGCATTAAATTCAATAATATAATTTCCTCATGCGAATAACTTTAATTGAAAGTATAAAAATCATAAAATCTATATTAAATTGATTAGGTTACATTGTAGTCCTAGTAAAATAAATTAGTTCATAATAAAAATAATAGAATTTGAAATTATAGTCATGAACATAAGAATATCTAAAGAAAAATAAAATTTAATTTGAGGTAATTGAAATTCTTAATCTTCTATTGTTGATGGATCCTTTATCTTGATATCCAAGAATGCCCAAAAAAGGGTTGCCACCAACCAATTCTGAATTTAGATGGGTATTTATAGGATTTTAGAAATCCTAATTGGAATAGAAGTGGGACCCACACCCATAATAACCAATTAAACACTAATTTTGTGAACACCTTCAATGAGGTGCTGACACTTTTTGTTCAGTGCCCAATGCCATCACCGTGTCGGGTTTTTGCCCTTCTTAGCAATTTTTGTAATGGTAAAATAACAGTCTTGGTCCCTGACTTTTGAATTCTGCACAAGTTGATCCTCAAGTTTTTGATCTCTACAATTTATTCCTAAAAATTATGATTCCTTCCAATTAAGTCCTTTCCTACACAAAGAATAAAAATAATGTAAAATCAAATAAAATCTCATAAAACTTATCCAAATATCAACAATATCAAGGCAACAATTTTACATTAATATGTATATAAATTCAACTCATCAAGGCAATATAAGTACAACATCAACTTGGCCCCTACAAGGGATAGCTTTCCGTGAATTACCAAGAAGAGTAATGAGACCTTTAAGGAATTTGCTCAAAGGTGAAGATCTGAAGTAGCCAAAGTCATTCCACCCCTTATTGATAGTGAAATCTACTCTCCCTTTATCAAGTCAACTACCGGGACCTTCCGTGCATGGTTAGCTTTTTGTGTGGGATATACTTTTGCTCAGTTAGTGACAATAGGTGAATAGATTGAAGATGGATTAAAGACAGGTATTATTATGGACTTTCAAGCTATCCAAAGGTAGTTAGAGCAAGTCAAGATGGGAAGCTTAAGATCTACTTCAACGAAGTTTGCACCTAAAGGAAGGAAAGAAGATGAGGAAGCTTTGAGTCACATTTTCACTAGTCATGCTAAACCAGTTTATAATGTGGCAAGTGTTCTTTATAATCGACAACCTTAATTGCAGTACACTCCAACCTTTAAACCTACACCCTACTTTCAAAGGAGGCCAAACTTTAATGCTCATGCTCCAGTTAGGCAACAATTCCTACCGACTAATAGGCCAAGGTAGTTCACTAAGCTTCCCATCCCTTACAGTGAGGTGTTGAAACAATTAATGGTAGTGGGTTTGGTGGAGACATTGCAAACGCATCCTATTCAACCACCTTATCCGTACTAGTATGATTTGCAAGCTAAATGTGAAAATCATAATGTAGTGGGTCATATAGGGTATTGAATATTGTATAGCTTTGAAGCATAAAATTCAAGATCTCATTGATAAGGGTAAACTCCAACTGAATGCTAAGGAAACCAAGGGTGCTCCAAACATCACTCAAAATCCTTTACCTTTGCATGATGTAGGCACAATGAATATGGTCACCTTTGATGAAGTTGAGAAGTCTGTGTTGGAGAATGCCAGTGCTTGGTCTCTTGATGAGTTGTTTGCCATTTTGGTAGAGTATGATTTGATTCAGCTGATTGCACAAGTGGGCCCGAATGTTCTGTTAGTGATAATTGATGATGCTTTGGTGTCCTTACCACTCCAATATGAAGGGGCATGCTTTGCAAGATTGTGGAGATTTTCAAGACAAGATCAAGGAGTTGCAAGGAATGGGAGCTTTGAGATTTGTATCTGCCCAAGAGCCAAAAAAATTCATAGCACCAGTGACTGAAGAATACTTCACTAAGGAGAAGCCTTACATTCTACAAGATACTAAAAAGGCACAAGTCATCAGTCAAAATTTCCAACAGCCTTATGTCTTGAAAACCTCTCTTAGTGGGTCACCCATGGGAAAGATATCATCTATGGCCAATTGCCATTTTTCTTACTCATTTAAGTTTATGCCTCAACGCTCTGTCATTTTGAATTCTACAGCTAATGATGTGTCCAATATGACTCATTGTGGTTGGTGTTCTGCGAATCTCGAAGTAAAAGAATTGAGAAAGGCTATTTTGAAGTCAAAAGATATCATAATTGAAGAGATGCTAGAAGAATCACCCAAGAAGCCAATGTCAGAAAAGGAAGTTACTGAATTTTTGAATATCTTGCGGAAGAGTGAGTATAGCATCACTAAATAGCTCAACAGAACTCTTGCAAAAATTTCTATCTTAGAATTGATGCTGTAATTTGAAACTCACTTGGATGCCTTGCTTAGAGTCTAGAAAGAGGGCCATGTGCCTAAGAAAATTGATACCCAGAAGTTTGGGACTATGGTTGGGGCAATCTTGGCTCTAAATTATATATTAATTTCACTGATGATGAGATTCCTGATGAAGGAAATGGGCATACCAAGGCTCTTCACATTTTTGTCCAGTGTAAGATGATGAATGTGCCTCATGTGTTGATTGATAATGGGTCAGCTTTGAATGTTATTCCTTTGACTGTTTTGGAGCAATTGAAAGTGGATGACTTTCACATCAATCAGTGTAGCATGATGGTTTGTGCTTTTGATGGTACAAAGAGAAATGTAGTTAGAAAGATTGAGCTTCTAGTGGAGATTGGTCCTTTGACTTTTGATGTGGATTTCTTTGTTATGGACATTTCTCCTACTTTTAATAAGCTTCTTGGAAGGCCTTGGATACATATTGCTGAAGCATTACCATCCACTTTGCATCAGAAAGTCAAATACATTGTCAATGGTCTGCTTGTTATTGTGAATGGCGAGGAGAAGCATGTCATTAGGCCACAACCATTCATTACTTGGGAATGGACTCTGGAACTTATGAACCCTCTTATCACTCGATGGAGAGTGCTGCTACTTCTTACATACATCCAAGGTTCAAAGGAAAAAAGGTTGAAATGGCTAAACCTGCTAAAGTCGCTGCTAGGATCATGCTTTCGTGTCAATATCAATTGGGAAAGGGTTTGCGATTGAATGGACAAGGAATTCTTAAGCCCATTAAGGTAATTCAAACTTGTGGCACTTTTGGTTTGGGATACAAGCCAAAGAAGGAAGATTGGCAAAGGATACATGTTATTAAAGCGAAGAAGCGCCTCGCTAGACTTTAAAGGAGAGAGCCAAGAGATGAACCAATGTGGGTGCCACACATCAAAGTCACATTTCCACGGCCTATTAAGATTTTATACCCTTCTCTTGATGGATATGTGGTGAAGCATATGGATGTCTTGTATGTAGACTCAAAAGGTACTGTTTTCACTAATAGATTGCTTGAAGTAGGGGAATGTTCAAAGCAAGACTAGTTTGAGGAAGTGGTTGTGGAAGATATCACGGATGAAGTTTGTTTTTATGATGAGGAAGACTGTTTTAGCTTTAACAACCTATTTGGGCTGGCCAACATGACAAAACCTAAGGAAAGGTGGAGGAGGATGCTTGCTGAAAGGGCATTTATGGAGAAACATCCCAACTTCCATCTTGTGCATCATGTGAAAGCTCTAATGGGTTCATATGAGTCTGTGCTCCTTGAAATAGTGAAAGAAGAATCACTGTGACTCATAGGAAAATTTGATTATAAATGCTCTAAATGAGGAAGAACCAGAATTTGATGCGGGAATTTCTCTGGTCAATGGAAGCTCCCAGGCTAATTGGACAACGAAACTTCTCCCTACAGCTTTCATCTATAAGTAAGAAAAGTCAGCCTTTAGTAGTTCTGCTTGTGACTACATGAAGGGAAGGATTCAGCAAGCACTTTTATGCACTTTTAAAACCCAGATCGAACCAGTTGGTTCGATCAATTGAACCAAAATTGATCACAAAATCAATTTGAGTTACGATATAAACCCAGTTTGTAATAAGACCCGATCAAAGTTAGTGAAACCCGGTCAAAACTTGAAAAACCTGGTCAAACTCGTTGATTTCAGAACCGGTGAATCGTCAGATTCACAAAATTTGAAAACTTTTAACAAGTTTGTGCACTCAAGGGGATTCGAACCCCATTCCTTCAACACTCATTTTGAAGTTTTCACCATTGAGCCACCAACGCCACTATTGTTAGTTTTACACAAAATTTTATTTATTTAGATAAAGTAAAATAAAATAAAGCGTGTATTTATGCAATTTTTAATAATTAATTATTTTCTAAATCAATATCATGTTACTGATTTTAATTGTATATTTAATAAATAAAAGTTTTTTAATATGTGCTCTCAGGATATAAGTAAAATTTTATTAAATATAATATTTTTAATTAATTTTATATAAAATTTTATATCAGATTTAATTAAAATAAAATAAAAAATAAAAAGTTAAAATATAATATAATGTTTATAATCGCAATTTGTAAAAATATAAGAAGTTGATATAAAATTGTGTAAAATTTGTCTTTATTGTAGATTTGGTTTAAAGATTTTTTTTATATTCGAAACTTATTTTATAGTAAATTTAGTTTAAGATTATGTTTTTTCTTAACTTATTTTATATGTATTTTAATATTTGTTAGTTTAGATCTTAAAAATTATATGTATCTAATTAAATTTATTATTTTAAATGGTCTAAATGATGATTTTCAAATTGATCTTATGATGATTATTTTTTAAGAATAAAATAAAAGTAATATACAATAGTAAAATCTAATAAATATATTAAAAAAACTATTTTTTAAGTTGATCGATTAAACTGATCGGGTGAACCGATTCAATTGGTTCGATCAGACCTAATGGCCAAACTGGGTCAACCACCGGGTTAGGCCCAAAAACATTGCTTTTATATTTTTTGAAATTTAAGTTATCATGCTTCTAGTATTCCCATGCTTTCCTTTTAAATGAAACATGTTGCAGTTTTACCTATCATTATAAAAATTAGCATGATGCAACTTTACTTAAACTTTTATTGTACAAATCACTCTTTAATGATATATTTCATGAGGTTATCCAGTAACATGTTGTTATCTTTACTTTATTATCATTTAGCCATTTATTTACTTCCATCCAAATTTTCAAGCCTACTAATGATGAATCTTTAAACAATGATGCCTCTTTAAACAATGATGCCATATCAGACTTTATATAAGAGATTGATGATCAAACCTATAATGAAGAAGACAATGAAAATCTTGATCCTTCTCATGAATTAACTCAAATGCTAAGAGAGGAAAAACCAAAGCTACAATCAAATCAAGAGATAGAAACCATTAATTTGGGTATTGAAGATGACAGAAAAGAGATAAAAATCAATGCTCATCTTTCCTTAGAGGACAGAAAAGAGTTGATAGAGCTCTTATTTGAATTTCAAGATGTTTCGCTTGGTCTTACAAGGACATGCTAGGACTTGATCCTGATACCGTTGTTCATGCCATTCCACTCTATTTTGAGACCAAACCAGTCAAGCAAAAGCTAAGAAGGATGAAGCCAAAGGTTTTGTTGAAAGTCAAAGAGGAAATGTAAAAGCTGCTAGATGTCAATTTCATTGAAGTAGCTATGTACCCAAAAGGGGTAGCCAATATTGTTCCTGTAATGAAAAAGGATGGCTGAGTTAGAGTCAGTGTTGATTATAGAGACTTGAACAAAGCAAGTCCCAAGGATGATTTTCCATTGCCTCATATCCAAATTTTGCTAGATAATGCTGCCAAAAATGCTTGGTTCTCTTTTGTTGATGGCTACTTCGAGTACAATCAGATAAAAATGAAGGAGGAAGATAAGCTCAAGACAACATTCATCATTCAATAGGGTTCCTTTTGTTACAAGGTTATGCCCTTTGGACTTAAAAATGCCAGGGCAACATATCAACGCTTTGTGATTACTTTATTATATGACTTTGTGCATACCATTGTTGAACTATATGTTGATGACATGGTGATTATGTCCAAAGAAGAGGTGCTTCATATGGAAAATCTTAAGAAGGTGTTTGAATGCCTTAGAAGATACCAAATGAGACTTAATCCTACCAAATGTACTTTTGATGTGGATTCGGGAAAGTTACTTGGCTTCATTGTGAGCCATCGAGGAATAGAGATTGATCTAGCCAAAATAAAAGCCATTGATGAAATGCCACCACCAAAAACCCAAAAAGAAGTCTGAAGTTTTTTGGGAAGAATTAATTACATTGCCTGTTTCATTGCCAACCTCACCAGCATTTGTGAACCTATCTTCAAACTCCTTAGAAAAGAGAACCCTCATACCTAAATGACCAATGCCAACAAGCCTTTGACAAAATCCAAGAATACCTCAAAAACCCACCAATCCTTGTGCCACCAACTGATAAAAGGCCTTTCATCCTATATATCACTGTCCTTAAGGAATCCATGGGAGCCATCCTTGTCAAACATGACGAGTCAGGTAGGAGAGAAAGAGCCATCTATTATATGAGCAAGAAATTAAATGATTGTGAGAGTAAATACTCATCCTTAGAAAAAAACTTGCAATGCCTTAGCCTGGACATCCAAGAAACTTCGCCATTACATGTTAACCAATACTATTTAACTACTTTCAAGAATGGATGCCATAAAATTCATTTTTGAAAAACCCACCCTTTCTGGAAGGATTTCTCAGTGGCATATGTTGCTGTTTGAATTTGACATTGTTTACACAACACAAAAGTCCATCAAAGGGCAAGCCATTGTAAATCATTCTGCTAAGCATGCGATGAAGGATTATGAGCCTATTGAATGGGATTTTCCTAATCAAGACATTTTGGCAATGGAGGCAGAATTTGATTCAGATAATTGGAAGCTCTTCTTTGATGGAGCTGTTAACCAGCTTGGTTGTGGCCTTGGAGCCATATTAGTATCCTTAAATGGTGATCATTTTCCTATTGCAATAAAGCTTGATTTTGTTTGTACCAACAATATAGTTGAATATGAGGCTTGTATTGCGAGATGCATTCTTCTTTGGATATGAATGTCCGAGATTTGGAGATATATGGTGATTCAACACTAATCATTTATCAAACGAATGGTGATTGGCAAACCAAAGATCCAAAACTTATTCCTTATCACCAATACCTTGAAACTCCCATAAGAAGATTCAGATTCATCTTTCTAAACCACATGCCTTGTGCCAAGAACCAATTCACAGATACTTTGGCAACTTTAGCCTCCATGATCCAAATCTCTAATGATGACATAATCAAGCCTTTGATGATTGAAATTAGCCAAGAACTGGCACATTGCATGGAAATCAAAGTTGATGACAAACCATGGTTTCATGATATTAAACGGTTCTTGCAAAATGGGGAGTATCACCTTCATGCGTTTGAGGTGAACAAGAAGACAATCAAAAAATTGGCAGCTTCTTACTTCTTGAGTGGAAATACACTATATAAATGTTTTGCTAATATGACTTTGTTGAGATGTGTTGATGAAACAGAAGCAAAAGAAGTCATGATTGAGGTCTATGAAGGGATATGTGGAACACATGCAAATGGAAGAATGCTTGCTAGAAAGATTCTTCGAGTCGATTATTATTGGTTGACTATGGAACATGATTGCATCAAATATGCACGAGCTTGTCACAAATGTCAGATCTATGCTGATCATATCAATGCGCTGCCTTCATTATTACATTATATGTCCGCTCCTTGGCCATTCTCCATGTGGGGCATTAATGTAATTGGGGCAATCAATCCTAAAGCTTCCAATGGTCATCAATTTATCTTGATTGCTATTGATTATCTTACCAAATGGGTAGAAGCAACATCTTATGCCAGCATCACAAAGAAAGTGGTTACCCACTTCATCAAGAAAGAGATTATCTATAGATATGGACAACCAAAAGCCATCATGACTGATAATGCAAGCAATTTGAACAATGACATGATGATTGTACTATGCAAGCAATTCAAGATCAAGCATTTGAACTCTTCTCCATACCGACCAAAGATGAATGGTGTGGTGGAAGCTGCCAACAAGAATGTCAAGAAGATTCTAGCCAAGATGATAGTTACTTACAAAGATTGGCCTGAAATGTTGCCATATGCTCTCCATGCTTATAGAACCTCTATTCGTAGCTCAACTTGGGCAACCCCTTATTCCTTGGTATATGGAATGGAGTAAATACTACTAACTGAGCTAGAAATTCTTTCCATGAGAATCTTATCTAAGTTAGTGATTGATGAAGAAGACTTGATTCAGAAAAGGATAGATTATCTCAACTTGCGTAATAAGAAAAGATTGGCAGCTCTTTTTCATGGCCAATGTTATCAGCGACGGAATGGCAACAGCTTACAACAAGAAATTCAAACCTAGAGCATTTCATCAAGGAGATATTGTCTTAAGAAAGATTATGCCAGATGAAAGAGACCCTAGGGGCAAATTTGTGCCAAACTATGAAGAGCCCTATGTTGTTAAAGAAACTTTCTTCGAAGGAGCACTCTTGTTAAGATATCCAAATGGAGCTGATTATCACTATCTAGTAAATGCTGATGCTATTAAAAAGTACTATTGCTAGAGAGAGAGAGAGAGAGAGAGAGAGAGAGAGAGAGAGTTAGGTTGAAAACCCGAAAAGGCGACCTAACAAATTAAATGTTTCCTTGACTTAGAAAGTTGAAAATCCAGTGATGAAAGGCCTTGTTTCTTTATTCTAAACAGTTGAACATTGCCCTTTTACTTACCCTTTTTGAGCTAGAAAAAGGTAATCATTCACATTTATGAAAGCCATAATAATTTTCTTTCTATTAACCCACATTAATGACCAGGGAAGTGAAGAGAGAATGTGAGGGGAATGTATTGATTTTGAGCCTTTATCTATTCTTTCATCATAGCCTAATCCTAAGCCACATTACAAGCCTATATAAAGTCCTTATCTGAAGGTTCTCTATCAAGGGACATGACAAAAAAAAAAAAAAAAAAAAAAAGGGAAACAGCAAGGCTCCAAGTGTTGGCAGTTGGGACTTTCTTCTTTTTGAGCATGAGAGTTAGTTCATGAAAGGGGAAAGATTTGAAGTGTTAGCATTCAGCAAAGGAACGAAATTCTCTCTCATATACTAAACAACTAATGGGCAGAGTTGCAAAGAAAAGATGATATGAAGCAATGATTTATGATATGAATATCTTGCAACAAGTTGCATCAAAATCTTGTGTTACTAGCTAGACTTCTTCTTGTCACTAAATGAAGTTGACCTTTTGATCATCCTAGTCTTTCTTGAATCTAATGCAATCAATCTTTGCAATTGTTTTGTTTGCATTTATTCCAATCTTGCCCTTTTATTCAGTATTGGGAATACTAGTTGAATATGATGCTTTATTTCAGTTAATATAATTGTTTATCTAATCAAATCTCTTGGTGAATTTGAAAGGCTGGATGAGGATTACAAGGAGAAAAAAAGCTAATTCAATGGCTGAGGAGTTGCGTGGAAATTCCAATAATAAATGAAAGTTTAACGTATTGAGAGCTATATTTATTTCCTTATGTGAAACAAATGAGATTCTATCTTTTGCATTCAATAGGGCGTTCGTGAATGTTAATCTATTGAGCTGTTGCGTAGGGATAATCATAGATTGATGAATGCACAACATCAAGGACGCTGGACTCTTGTTAAATATAGACATCCAATATGTTCAGGGAAGTTTCTTAACCTCTCTTCATTCTACCTTGTCTTATATATGAAGATTGTCTCACTTGCATATGTTTCATGGTTACAGATCTTTCAGTCATTACTTTCATCTGGCCTTTTGGTTGCATTTTACACTCATTAGGCCCCGATACTCTACTTTTTCAGTCATTCGACCATACTAATACTCGACTTTTTCGATCATTGGACCATACTAATACTCGACTTTTTCGGTCATTTAACCATACTAATACTCTACTTTTTTGGTAATTCGACCATACTGATATTCTACTTTTTTCGGTCACTCAACCATACTAATACTCTATTTTTTTAGGTCATTCGACCATATTGATACTCTACTTTTTCGGTCACTCGACCATATTGATACTCTACTTTTTTTGGTCATTTGACCATACTGATGCTTTACTTTTTCAGTCATTCAATCATACTGATATTCTACTTTTTTGGGTCATTCGACCGTGGCAGTTATAAAACTGTTTTTACTTTACTCATTCGGTTATTCGATCGTTATGGTTTGCTAAACCGTTTTTTATTTTACTTGTTTGATCATGCGATTGTTCTGGTTTCTTAACTGTTTTTACTTTACTTGTTTAGTCATTTGACCAATTTTTACTTTACATGTCTAGTTAAAAAAAAAGAAATTTCAGTTTTTCTTGTCTTTTCTTTTCATTCTTAACAAAAAAGAAAAGAAAAGAAAAGAAAGGCAACTATCATAATTCAAATTTTTAATAGAATTTTGTTTTAGTTTTTATCTTTATTTTAATTGATATGTTTTGCCTATGCTTTCATTGTTAGGTTTGTGGGCAAAAAGAGAAATTCTGTGAAGAGGATTGGAAAGGGAGATGAAGAAAATGAAAGAAAGAACTCAATTGAAGAAATCAAAAGTTGAAGGGTTGAAATTCATCAAGACAATATTATAAATCCAACCCAAGCCTCTTAAGTCTTAACTATCTTCTTAAGTCCAACCCACTTCAAATTTTAAGCCCAATTCAACCCACTAGCCATTCAGGCCCATTTCCAAAAAAAAAAAAAAAAAAGAGAAGAAGGAAGGAGGGGTTTCGGCCCAAACCCAACATTAAACCCTAGCTTCTGGTCTCTTTTAAAGAGAAGGAAAAGAATGGACAATGCAAAACGGGGAAAAAAAAAAGAAAAGAAAAGAAAAGAAAGAAAAAAAGAAAGAAAGAGAGAAAAGAGGAATCGGGAGCCAAAAATTAAAAAAAAAAACAAAAAAGTGCAGAAACTTTTCCCCCGCCTGGAACCATATTTCTGCTCGTCCTTCTCAGCAGCTTGTGAGATGGCCCCACATCCAGAAGCCCCGAACAAGAGACAAGGCCAAAGGCTCAATCTTTTGCTTTCCCCTGGAGAAACCAGAGGTTGTCGGAGGCATGAAGGGATCAATCTCAGCCCTTTTGGATCTACGGTGGGAAGGAAAAAAGAGGAAGATCGAAGGGCTTCGGGCAGATCTAGGGTTTTCATTTTTGTTTTTATTTCTTGGGTATATATAGAGCAAA